ATGTTCCTATCTCATAGAATTTAAGAACAATGATGAATAAATAATTTTCGAGCAAAATTTAAATGGCCGGCTGAATATATTACCGCAGGAGACGCAGCCGCGGAATTTAAATTACCGCGTCAAAGGGTTAAAAGAATTAAAAGGAGATTACTTAAAAAAATTTCTAGGTTGCCAATATTTGCAGCTACTAAAATAGATTTTTAAAAAATAAGCCTCAAAACTTGTTTGCCTGACCTTGAATAGGTAATATCCATTTATAACCCCTCTCTTCGATTAACACTTAGGCTTCAGTCTTTGTTTCTGAAATTATCAAAATTTATTCCTTATGCTTGATCATATAACTGAGTGAAAGCTGAGTTATGCTGGAATTGTATCCCAATATCACTTTTTTTTTAATAAAGCATAATGAAATAAGCGGTAATACATCATAACTGGCAGACAATTTAGCACTAAACTGTGTATAAAAATTATCTAACTTATTATGTATTATTTGTCCTTAAATAAAGTCTAAATGCCTAGATGTATAGGATTCAAAATGGTTCTAAAATGAACCACTACATAACATAAGGTTGTGTATGACAACTCTTTGAAACCTACCTCACAATTCTTCCTGGCATCATTGCGGTTACGAAGTGGGGACTTGATGAATCGATAACAGGACAACTGAAACCTGACCCAGTGCTGAGGGCATCTCATTTCTGAATCTAAAGTTCTAATCTGTGAAGCCACACATGGCAAGGCCAGTATCAAAAACCAACCAGCTTCCAACATTGCTACCTAAAACAAGAAAAGAAAGTAAGTACAATGAAACAAGGAAGACATTATCTCTGCATAGATTCATTTCTATTGAATGGTCAATACAGGGCAACAAAACCAAACACAATGGTCCAGAGTTAACACTCCAGGCTTGACATGAATACATACATACATACATACAATTCATTTCACAAGTCCAAACAAATGGACATGAAGGTCGTCGTCATACAAAAATTTAAACAAACACACACATAACAAAATAATTAAAACTAATTGATTATGTTATGCTCCACATATTCAGAAACTGTATAAAAGGAATTATTCATAAGATATAAAAACAAATTTAAACAAACACACAGATAACAAAATAATTAAAACTAATTGTTTATGTTATGCTCCACATATTCAGAAACTGTATAAAAGGAATTATTCATAAGATATAAAAACAGCCTATTTTTAAAACTAATTCTATCCTCTTTAAGGCTTTGAATGGTTATGGGCAATCTGTTGAATAGTTTAATGGCAGTAAACATAGTACCTTTCTGAAAAGCAGAAAGATTCGAGTTTGGCAAATATAATTGCTTTCGATTTCTTGTATTCAAACCATGAACATCTAAACCTGAACAAAACTTACTTTGATTATCAATCACAAACATCATCAACGAGAGGATGTATTCACATGACAATGTAATGACAATGTAAGAAGAATGATGTATTATGGTTCGATTTATCCTCTTCTCGCATATGGAATTGTTGTATGGGAGTAGAGTGCAAAGGCACTAACTAGGTGAATATCTACCCTTCAAAAAGAGGCTGTAAGGTACACAGCAAGGTTAAAAAGGAATGATGTAGAGACAGTTTCAGGCAACTAAAGATATTAACATTATACTTGCTATACATTCAAGAAACAATCTTGTATGGAAAAGAAAAGTGTAACTGCGGTGTAAATAAAGACATACACATATATAACATAAGAAATAATAATCACTATAATAGGTATGTACATGATTTTGAGCTTTATAACAATAAACTATCAGTACCACGTTGAATCTTCTATAGCAGATTGCCTAACAACAAAACAAAAACAAAACTCCGTGGCTTGAGTTCACAAGCGAACTATACCGGCCGAGTAACTGCCACTTGTGGGCGAAGTTAGTGCCAACTTTAGAAGATAGAGGGTCTCCCGTGGACAGCGCAACAAATCCCCATGGCTTTTAATTTCAGTTTTCTAGACCAGAGCCGCTATTTCCTTGTAGCACCTCAATTATCCTCACGAGGCTGAGTGGACCCCGTTCCAGACCCCCTACTTCTCAGAAAATCTGATTGTGCCGGGAATCGAACCAGGGACCTCTGGATCTGTAGCCAGGAACTCTGACCACTAGACCACAGGGGCACTCTTACTGCCTAAAAACATAAAACATTTGTACATGTCCCATATCATTGTATTTTCATCTGCAGGATAAAATAAAAATTAAATGAATTACTAAGCAGGTGCTCAGTTCAAGTCTTGGCTGGTACGTGAGCTATCCTGACTGAAATGTTCTGTGGATTTCCTCAGTCCATCCATGCATATTCCAGGATATACCATGATTAGGCCAAAATTTGCTTCCTTCCCAACTGTTTTCACTTCAGCACTCAGAAGGAAGATTCCTCTCAACAATCTCATTTAATGCCATGGCAGGTGAAACTGATTCTAGTCAGAGGAGGGAACAAGAGACCATGCATGTAAACACTAACATTTTGAGATGGCATGGTGAATTAGGAGAAAGATGATATCATAACTGAAAAAAAACAAAACTAAAACAGAATCTTAATATGAAGGAATGTGGACTAAACATGATTACGGACAAGATGATGGCCATGTGGATTTCAAGGAACCCAGACACAAACATAAGGATACCATTAATAACATAATTATTGTAAAGATTGATTTAGTCATTTGGGTGGCGAAATGACAAAAAAACAGACAGTACTGTACAGATGAATACAAAATAGTCCTAAATTTTACCTCATCATAAAACTGACTAACAAATTACACCAAAACATGTAATCTTATGAAGAGAAACAAACGCAGAATCCGCGAATTAACATTTTTGATTACTGACGGGAAGAAAAGTTTCTGAAGGAGCTGCAGTTCAAAATTTAAATGTTATAAGAAAAATGAATACACTGGTTTGGGAATGTACAAATAATGGATAGAATAAAGACAGCTTGGGCATCAGAATGAAAATCTGAAGGAAGGAGACCTCCTGGGCGACCTAAAACAAGATGGATCAGACAAATATTGGAAGACAGCAGGTACAGAAAAAGCTGGAAAAAATATTCATAAATGACTGTGAAAATGATGACCAGAAACGCGCCTTGGAAAAGTGAGACAAACATCAAAAACAATACAGTCCTGACTAACTACTCCTGGCTACACTTCAGCTGCTATTACAATATTAATTACGTTATAGTCAGAATAATTATGTGAAACTGTTTAGCTCTACCGTTGGTACCGATGCTTCATAAGGGAGTGGCACTGGAAAATGTAGGTCCTTCGACGTACTTCAAACTGTCAATCTTGCATTACATACTATATCCCGTCTCCTTGGCAGCTCTTTACTTCTGGAATATCAAAACTCTAAAAAAACTCTTTTAACACGCGCCAATCTCAATTTTACTACTTAACCACCAAACCACACTCAACTGAGTCACACTGCACAAGGCATTCACACCCCACAACACCGCCAACGCCACCAACCACATAACAACAACGATAATGCCATCAGCTGGCCCAACTGGCATCACGTTGACAACCATGTAACGTCATTCTATAAGTGTTGCCATCTATCCAGGACATTTGTATACTACTTCCAGTACACGCCGGCGATAGAAGCATTGCTCATTCGGCAAATGTGTTAATCAACGTAGTGTAGTTCCGCCAGTTCCGAGATGGGGATGTGTAGTTGACAGAATGGCAGGGACAAGATGTAAATCTCATGTCCCCAGCGCCTAGACCGGTCCTATGTTCCACTCAGTCACCTATTCGATTGGCATCATAGGATCCTTCTCAGGGAATAATGTGGCCTGTGGAGTGAAGCTGTCTACTTCTAGTGCAGAGGTCAAGAATGCTGGACCTATACTTCCATTCCCCATACGTCTTTGTGTCGTGGGTCTTAATTGAATTGAATTGAATTGAATTTATTTACATTCTATAAATCCTAAGCAGGTTAATACCTTTGGATACAGAACAAGTCAAAATGTTACATACATAAGTACAGGCCATTTTAGCTTAAAAATTAATATAACTTAATTTTACATCATTCTCTATTTACATTGAAGTATTCATCTAAAGAGTAGAAGGAATGAGCATGTAGATAATTCTTTAACTCTGATTTAAACTTTTTAGTATCATTGCCCAAGTTTTTAATACTTTGTGGCAGATTGTTGAACACTTTTATGCCAGTAAAGTAGACTCCTTTTTGATATACTGATAAAGTTGATGAGGGTAGGTGGAAGTTATATTTTTGTCTAGTATTCATGTTATAGACATCAGAATTTAATTTGAATTTATCTTTGTTGTAAACAACAAATAAGAGAAGCGATAATATGTATTGCGATTGAAGAGGTAGAATTTTTAATTTCTTAAATAATTCTCTACATGAATCTCTACTTCTACATCCTGTAATGATTCTAATTATATTCTTTTGTATTTTAAAAATTATTACACTATGTGAAGAGTTCCCCCAAAATATTAATCCATAGTTCATAATAGAATGAAAGTAGGCATGGTAAACCATCTTCAATGTTTCCTGTGACATAAAAGGCTTAATTGATCTCATCGCATAGCAAGCTGCATTTAATTTAGGTATAATTTGTTCAATATGTATTTTCCAAGACAGTGTACTGTCTACATGTATTCCAAGGAATTTTGTATCAAGTACTTTACAGATTAATTTGTTGGCATAACTGATGTCCAGATCAATTTGGTGGTTGTTTTTAGTTGTGAATGATATGTAATGGGTTTTATCAAAATTTAATGAGAGTAAATTGGCTTCGAACCATCTGTTTAAGGCTTCAAATACAATATTTATGTCATTTTTAAAGTTTTCAAATTTAGAGTTCTTAAATATTATACTAGTGTCATCTGCATATAGAATTGGTTTAGATTTATTGTTGATGGTTTTAGATAGATCATTTATGTAGAGAAGAAAAAGTAAGGGACCTAAAATTGATCCTTGTGGAACACCGTGCTTTATAATTCCCCAGTTTGAAAATGCATTATGACTGGAGTTTTTATTATTTATTTCAACTCTTTGATACCTGTTTTTGAGGTATGATTTGATCCATTCATTAGCTTTGCCAGTTATTCCATAGAAATTTAATTTTGATAGTAAGATATCATGATTAACACAATCGAAAGCTTTTGCTAGATCACAGAAAATCCCTCCCACAATTAATCTGTCATTGAGAGCACTTAAAATATCGTTAGTTAGTTAATAGGTTGCTTTTTCTGTTGTTAGGTCTTTCCTAAATCCAAATTGCTCTTTGACTAATATGTTGTTAGAATTTAAGTGTTCAAGTAGTCTATTATACATAACTTTTTCAAAGACTTTTGAGAATGAAGTCAATATGGATATTGGTCTGTAATTAGAGATGCATTTTCTCTCTCCTTTTTTAAAAAGTGGTTTCATTATAGCGTATTTTAAGCGTTGAGGAAAAGTACCTGATGATAAAGATTTATTACATAGATGATTCAAGGGTGAACTGATGTAAACAGAGCTTGCTTTAAGTAATTTGGTAGAGATTTCATCATATCCATGTGAATTTTTGGGCTTAAGGGATTTAATAATGTTTTCAATTTCCTTCCTTGTTGAGAATTTGAGATTGATATTTGGAAATGAATTGTTAAAGGCACGAGACAGATAGTATATTGGATTATTATTATTATTATTATTATTGGAATATGTTTTCTCAGCTAATGAAGGAAATATTCATTAAATGCACTTAATTAATTACACATACGAACAGATTTACTTTTACCTTTCGGAACTGAAGTTCCCTTGTTGCATGCTTCACACTGATTTCTTTCTTGGCTCTATCTTCAACCCTGAAAATGAAGGTGACATATTACACCAAAGCAGCAGTTGACTTTCAGTGAACTGCATGGTGTTATATCCAAGAAAGTAAACCTCTTCAATTACTGTTAAGTTTACACTGTCTCCCACTCACCTCCATCTAGTAGTTCAAAATTGTAGATTTACACTGCCAGCTGCTCATATATCTTCATGGCACGGTGCTTAATGAATTAAACCCTATCTTTGTAGTAAATAATTGTAATATTGATCATATTTATGAAACCAAAAATTTGGAAAAAGTGAATGAAAAATTTGTTTTCTTCATTGATAGTTTTATTCAGCTTTATAACTTTTATCCAAAACACACTTGAGACCTACAAGAAACATTGTTTTCTCAGTCACTTCAATGTGTAAGTGCTGTATATACTCATATAAGTGTATTCTGACAGATGTTCACCCTCTGCTGGACTATATGGCACTACATCCCAAGAACTAATATTCTTAATATGCACTGCAGTGAAAACTACAAATCCATCAATAATATTGAGGTTTTCAGATATTATTCATATAAAGGAGATGTTACTTGCACAGTACCCAGTAATAAATAGAATGCAACTCAGGAACAAATAATAACTGATAACAAAATAGATCAGAAAATATTAATTTCTCAAAGCAGAATGCAGTAGCATGTCTGAAGCATCTTCAGTAATCTGAAAATCTAAAGTACTGTTACAATAACTGAAGGAAAAACTTTATTAAAAGATTGTCTATGATAATACTGAAAATTTATCCTAAGCATACACTGTACTTTGCACATGAAAACTAAAGACTCTCTTTCTTTAAAAACTATTTTACATGTTAGGATTTCACAATTAACATGATTCCAAAATATATTCAAGTTCAGAGAATTAACATTACATTTCCCCACCCTACTCATGCCAAATAGAATTACCACTAAACAATCTGGCTCACTAATTGAACCTTATGAATCTGAAATATACAGATATTTTAACAATATGATCATTAGGGTTTACTAACCACCTCACATAAACAAAACTCTGAGAAGAGAAACTGCATTTCTTTATTGAACTGTATGATTGGAAGCAGCATAATAAAATGCATCCAGCCAGACAGCAAGAACATGAGCACAAAACTAGAGCAGTCTCCATTGTTAGAATCCATTACCAAGCAACGACTGATGAAGACATGGAAGTTATAGTGTTTGCTATGGGGATCTGTAAAGTGTGTAGATTAGTGATAGCATTATAATTGTTTGTAGTTACAAGTTATAAGTGTTCAATAAATCTAATCAATGTCTTGTCATTAACATATGAATATGACAATACTGTCATATTTTTGTGATATTTGTGTATGATAAATATACAGTCAGATGAGTTATTAACAACTGTAAAATGTACCTTTTATCAGGCCTGCTTCAGTTCTGTTTCTCTAGAACAAATCTGACAATGTTCAATTTTGAAACAGGTGAAAAAACTGACAGATTCTTTGAGCGCTTTAAAGAGACACTTGTGTAGATTCCATTGGCTAATTATACGGGGAAAGCCATTGCCTTTATCTGTGGAGACAAGGGACTCTGTCCTCACAACATTGTTTGCCCTGTATAAGAACGTGTTTCTTTGTAAAATGAAGTTGGAAGTGAAGGATTAAGAATGAAGATGGTAAAGTTATATAAAAAATTTAATTAATGACTAAATCTGAGCAGAGAAGTTGCTTTTATAGTCCATTCCTCTTCCAAGTGAGATAATAGGCCCTTGTATGAGTGTGATGTAAGGGAACTTGGATTGTCTTAATATGGCTTCTGTACTGTGAAGGATGAGGTTATTTTTTAACAATTAAGTGTCAAATCATGGTACAGATACATTTTAAATTTGTATAATTTCTTCTATAAGAAAGGATCTATTAAACGAATTCTCTGAAAGCAGTGAGTGTGACTATTTACTTACTCTTACTTTAATATCATTCATGAGAATATCATTATTGAAGCACATACAATAATTACAATTATATCCAACTGATGAGTAGATTTACTGAATTACAGAAATGGGAGCTTTCGTTGGTGAGAGTATTGAAAGGGATGAAGACGTTGAGCCTGGGTAAATAAGAGAAGACTCTGTTGGAAAAGGGAACTGAAATGGTGAGTAAGCACTGAGACCAGGGATTGGATTGACAGAACTCCAAAAATGGATGGGAGTAGAAGCCTTAGATGCAAAGGCCTGAAAAGAAGAAGGTCTCATGTTCAGTGAAGGACCACTTTCTTGCTTCCTGTCCATGACACTAGTGCTGCAGTTGTTGTCTTGCTGAAGGAAGTAGTGACTGAGTGGTGATCGACACCTTCCAGTCTGATGATTATAATTTCCATGGCACTTGGTGTCTAAATTAATTGGCTTGTATGTCGTGCTTCTCTCCTTACTCTGAAGGGCTAGTGATAAAGGAAGCTTGCTCCATGCTTCTAACAATGATGGGGGCAAGGTGAACGTAGTGCACAAGTCAGGAACCTCTGAAATTTGAAAATCATGTATACTGAATACTGAAATCAATACTCTTAGTTTTTGAACGTAAAGTTTTATTTTATTTATTTGTTTTAACGGCATTAACATCTTCAGAATAGACTTCAACTTCAAACAACTAGGAGATACTTTTTGAATGGTAATATTATGTACGGCCGGTCACGGCAGCCAAGCGGTCTAAGGCATGCACTGTCTTTGCTCGCTTGGAAGCCGGGATCGTGGGTTCGAATCCCACTCAGGGCATGGATGTTTTTGTGTGCGTTTTTCTGTGTTTATCTACAGGTAGAGGCCTTGTGACGAGCTTATCACTCGCTCAAGGAGTCCTACCGAATGTGTAAGATCTAGTAAACCGAAGTGAAATGGAGAGTTTCATGGAGGTAGGCCTAGGCCCAAATTGGGGCTGTAGCGCCACAGGAAAAAAAAAATAGTATGTATGAATACATGGAAACTGAATCTAAATTTGTAAGAAATGGAAAATTTGATATTTACTTCTAAAGAAGTACTGCGAATCCTGTAAGAAAATGGTTTTCATGCAAATAAAAGTAACTATATGGTAAAACAAAAGCATATGAGAGACTTCAATTGGAGAATAAGCAGCATAATAAATATTAAGATTGGTGCAGCATATGAAGTATAGGCAATAAGTTTGTCTTCTGTCTGAATAAATGCTACTGTGGTACTGTTAATTATTGTGACACCAATCCGGAATTCCTTGCAAAAATTGTAAGGGTAGATATGGCATAGTATCAGATGCAAGACAAAAATGAGGCTATAATGTAATAGTTCATATTACTACACTGATAAGGCAGACAGGAAGCCATGTAATTCCAACATTGAGAGAGTGCACCGTTACTTTTACAGCATATTAAAAGGCGCAGTGTTTAACTTCTATGTGCAGCTTATTAGAATGTCTCACTTCTCACACTGGAAAGAACTGCATTCAGGTTAAAAAAGACACGTGTCAATGAGAGAATCATGGAAAGAGAAAAAATTATGTGTTTCTCACACACACAGTCTATAGGAAGAGTGGGTACACATGAAAGAAAATTTTGAAATCTGTTCAGGGCATTACTGGTGACAGATTTAGATGGTGTGGTTTTTCGAGTGAAACCATTGTGTGTGTATATGTAGTAGCTTCTATGGCACTAGTGGGTGCAAGTGGCTCCTCCTGTTGATATATTAATGAGGCAAATATTATACACAGAATTTAAAGAGCTAGTCTCAATCACTGGATCCACTGGCCCAACTGAGTATGTTTATCCTTCCCTATCCACCTGAAGACGGAGACAGATCCAGTCTCCGAAACGTCGTGGGTTTTTTTTTTGTCTTTTATATACCAGACGATGGGTGAAGTCCAAAACAAGCCAAAAGAAGTACAGTATACACCATCGTCAGAATCCTTTCACGTCTATCTGTAGCTCTATTATCTGGAGAACAGTTCCGTGGATGTTGTTAAGCCAGCTAAGGAGGTACCGAAATTGCGTCCTCCCTCTCTCCTTTCCTACTACAAACTTAATTAGTAGCCTGTTATTTCTCATACGATGCATAATATAAGCAGCTGACCGAGTGTCTTTTAACAAACTTAGAGAAGATAATGTAAGCCTTTCGCTATATTTAGGAAGCAGATATTTATGAATCAATTGTTTATTTTTACACGCAAAATTCAGACAGATATCACAAACTCTGGAGGAAAAATAACGAAACAATAGTTTTTATGTTCTCTGTAGATACGATTAATTTGTCAAAAGGGATAAACAATAAAACCCGCAATGGTTATACAAATTTATCTGAACAATCATTGCAGAGGAAATCGGCCATGATATGTTTCAGACTACCCACATACACAAATGTGATGGAGAAGTTGCCGCACTAGCACGGGGCTATGTTTCGTACAGTGAAATAAACAAGATTCCAAAGAGTGCCTTAGTTTTTATCGACATGTTTTCATTACGAATCGTCAGTAAAGTGCATTTGATACCATACACTTCGGAATTCTCACCAATCTGTCTCCTATTTAAATACTTAAAGATGATACTGCACTTCACCTCATGTTTCACACAGGTATGAAACTTTTTTTGTTGCTAGTGGGCTGGGACTAAGTCCCTTGTACTGCTGCCACTTCTGGCCTATTGTACCAGCCCCAGATGATAGGTGAGTGTGATTGTGGAGCAATTGGTGGAATGAAGATTGGCAGGGGAAACCGAAGTACTCGGAGAAAACCTGCCCTAGCGCCATTTTGTCCACCACAAATCCCACTTGAGCAGACCCGGGATCGAACCCGGGCCGCCGCGGTGGGAAGCCCGCGACTAACTGCTTGAGCTATGGAGCAGCCTAGATATGAAACTTGGTCTCTCGCCGTAAAGGAAGAACACAGATTGGAAATATGAGAGAGCGAAGTACTGAGGAGAAAAAGTGGGCTTAAGAAAAATGAATATATAGAGAGCTAGAGAAAATTACATGACAAATCGATTCATAAGTTGTGAACTACAATTAACTTAGAATTAAGATAAGGACTAAAAATGAAAAAGATATGGACGGGACATTAAAAAACAGAGTTAATTAGAAATGTTTAAATTCAGAAAAACATTAAATTGTTCATTCACATCGGAAAAGGCCTTATGACTTAATGTATCGAATAGTAGCTTATTTGCATAAGATATATTAAGAACCCACATTACTGGTTGAAATGTTCAATAAATTTCAGGATAAGTGGAGAATACTGCGAAAGCAAATTCAGCACATCTTCGTTTATTAGAAAACTTGGTACACGGCTTAAATTCAGAAAGAATTATAAGAGCCTTTGTAATAATTTATGAACGATAAACATTATAACTCCGAAAAATGAAGTGATCAGCAGACAATTGGAATGACAAAATAAGGACAAACCATGAAAATATTTCCACACTGCTGTCCTTGTAACAATAAACCCTATGCTGCAATAAGTGGACGAGCTAAGATGAACCCATCTAATTCACGAAACGCTTAATCAGTCAGTATTCAGCAGCTTCTTTGGTGGTTAAGAGTAGCTGTAGAAAAATATTTATAGACCATTTCTCATTTCGCAGCACTGAAATCAATCATCTATAATGTATGGTTCTAAGTTAATTCGACGATCTTTCCGAATTGCATCAGGTATCGAGTGTCAAACGAGAGATCATTTTCGCGCTGTTTACATAGCTCTGAATGACATTGCTGAGACACGTCTCGGTTCTTACACATACCGCATGTTTTGTCAATAAAAATAACCTCTCATTTAATGGCCATTTGGAAACAGCATAATTTTTACCAAACACGAGATTCGGTGTATGCTAGTGAACACACCATAATATGTTTAGAGATTATACACATATTTAAATATAGGTATTAAACTAAAATTTCTTAATTCTTAAAATTCAAGTTTGCTTTACAGCAAATCTACACACAATATTACGGAAAATTTTCTAAGCAGTCTCTTACAAATTTCCATACAATTTTCCACAATTATACACATTAACTACTCAAATGCTACATTATAGGACTACATAGTTATTGTAGTGCATGGTCCTTAAAGTAATCGCGTGTCAGTTCATGTCAGGGTAGACGAGGCTTGAGCTCTTCACGGGATTAAAAAATACGATTATTGTCTCCTGTACTATGTAGTTCTTTAGATGGTACCTACGTATGTAACTTCAATATCAAAAAGACATAACTTCGTATAAGAAACAAATGTTCAATATTCTAGTTGCGTTAAGCAAGTTTGTAGTTTAGGGGTACGCGACTGAGTGCACGACCTACTCATCATCGACTTACAATTAGTTGCTTACCTAGTGCAACGTGTAATAGAATCCAAGAAATTATTTAGTCTTTAGCACTTCCTAAAACATTATCATTATGGGTCCATGCTATGCAGGAGGGAGATCCGTTAGAATTTAGTAATGTTTCTCTCTTGTATTTTCTTTCATTAAGCATTCAATTTATTCCCAAAGCCAAAAGGTGTGATTCAGAAATATTAAACTTACTTTCTGTTTTTATTAACTGAATTGAAGAAAAGCTAATAATAGACCAGAATATTTGTCGTTGAAAAATATTCGAGGAAGGTATACTACGTTGAGGAAACACAGAAGCATTGCTTATGTCACATATGCACGTACCTTGCAAGGTTGAGCTATTTGCAGAGAATCCACTAAACCCGATGGCTGCTCCAGGAGATCCATAATAAAATTTTCTACTGAAAATTCCGCTAGTCGTTTTCTGTAGGCTTTCCATCTTCACTCGAAATGGAACTTTACTTTCCATTTTTACAATCTCAGGGAATGACACAAATCTATAGGAAAGAGAATCTCAGTTTGCAACAGTCATAAAATAGGTGTTGTTATGGTATGATTACTAGTGTCAGCATTAGGATATTTCGAATTCGAGCCATTGAACTATCATAAAAGATGATCTGTCAGCAGAGCAGTGTTCAGTTCCATCGTAAACTCAATACACTGATATGGTTTCTAGTTTTATTGCCTGGAATTTTCAAATGAATTTTAAGAGAGTTAAAGAAAAAACTTATTTTTGTACTACAACCACACCAATGGTTCACGGGTATCGTAACAAAACTGTAGGAGCAAAGGGTGACAGCGAATACGATTACGAAATCATTGTGTTTACAGATCATTTATTTAGCATACAGCCTAATGTCAATACATAGATTCATTCATCCATCCTTTTCCTATTCTAGTTAACATATGCCAAGCCTTGTTTTACTTTTATTAGAGGAGCGGTTGTTAAGTGTCAGACCGAGACAATGGTTCACTTTCACATTCCAACTCCCAGGAAAGTTTATCAAACACCAATTTAAAGACATTTAGGTTGGTCTTAGTGCCAGTGTTAACGTGGCAGCGAATAGAAAAATTTCCTTCCAGGAATCGAACAGTGGTGGTCAAGCAGTCACCAGTCATGTTATTTACTCATCAGTTCACTTATACAGGCAATGATCGTGATTTTTGTGTGAGGTGGTTTGCCAAGCGCCGTACAATTCTAACTGAAGAAATATATTTTAGGAAAGATTTTAACGCAAACAATTTAGGCCGCGCCATAGCTCAAGTCGCTGGCTTCTCACCGCGGGTCTGGTCAAGTGGGATTTGTGGTGGACAAAGTGGCCGCCGTGCCGAGTGGACCCAGCTGGACTCCACCCCCCACTAAGCGAAACACAAGCAATTTGTTTTACATTTCACACTAAACGTATGTGATATGAAAGTGTCACGGGTTAATCATATGTGCGAGTAGTATAGCATATACTAGTATATTTAATTTAATTATGCGGAGTAGTTGAGGCATCATAAAGTTAGTTTAAATGTTTTGCTTGCGAAATGTCGGTAACTAATAATGAAGACGTCGATTTCCATTATTTTGTGCATAACTCATGAGATTCCTTATACAGTTTCTAATTAACCTGTTTTGGAAGGAATGATTGCACTTATTCTGCTACCATGTCGGTATTTACGTCCTACGCAATTGTTTTTTTTAACTGACGAATGTTCATGACACTTGACATGAGTACACTTCCACTAGAGGCCATCTAGCCTTCGTATTTCTTTTCTATCATTAGTAATACGAACACGACGACCATACTAACATCCGAGGTCAGAGTGATATTAGCGCCAGTTAACTCAGAGTTCTCAAATTATATTGCGACAAACTATGGAACAAGTGCAAAAAACTTACGAGTTTCTTGCTTCGTACAATGCAAAATAATAGAATGACAATCTAGCAATTAGTGTATTTACCTTTCGATTTGAATTCCACTGAACCAATTACTGACTAACTCCAGAAAGAAATAGTACATTGGGAAGACCAAGAAGTAGGTAGGTAGACAATATTAAAATGGATCTTAGAGAGATAGGATGGGATGGTATTGATTGGATTAATCTGGCTCAGAAAAGTAGCATAGATAATAAAATTACATATAGGTAAATTGCTGCTCACGCAGGCTGGTGCCTTTCGCAAGTATAGCTCAGATAATTTTTCTCTACAACGGACCAAGTTGGCTAAGGAACCAATACCTACATGTTCTTGAACTTATTCCTGTGACAATCCAATGCATAAAACAACGCTATATGAAAAGCTGAGTACGCTTTCTGCCGAATTTCAATGTTCAATCACAATTATATTAATTAGAGCTACAGTAGACGTGCTACTTAACGCTTACCCCTTCACATACGCATGTATGGTTTGTTTAACCATTTGTCTGCATGTGGATTACATGAAGTTGAATGGCAGGATTACTGATGAATGTTCAATTGGAGAGGATCGTGGCCTTATCAAGGAACTATCTCAAAATTTGTGTGGAGTAAATGAGGAAAACCGCGAAAGGCCTCAGTCAGAATAGTCGATGTCTCGTCCGAGAGTAGAACCGAGCAACTTCCGAACATAAGCCTACAGTGTTACAGCTACAGCAACGAGCTCAGTATGGGTCATCACCTTCGACATGTCCGGCATGGGTGGCTCTAGTAGTAGCTATGCTACCGCCGGCATAGCTCTCAGGGTCATTTGACCACGCAAGCCCCTCCACTACGCTAAAGTAGAGACACCATCGGGGGGGAGGGGGTCAGTATTTTACTTACGTAAATTAGGATATTAGAAGCAAATTTAATTAGCATTCTTGCAAGACAAACCAAGAAAAAGGATACTTTAAATATTTATCAATTGCTCTTAAACTCCTTGCTCCTTTTAACTGTGTGAGCAATAGTTTATTGAGGCAATGTCAAAACACAGTAGTTGTTTCCATGCACTCAAAGTATTTTTATCATGAATTCCTATCTTCACTTGCTTCCAAAATATACTTATTTCAAAATACCTCTCTTTGTACGATAATATTATAACGTAGCTTGTAATGTTTGTTTATCGACCTTTTCTCATCTGTATATACCTAAAGTCGAATGAGAGATTTAGTTTTAATTCTTAATTAATAATTCATAATATTTAGTTAATAATTTGAAGAAAGTAGCTGTGGGCTCTTGTAAGGTTACAAGGGACTGAGAGAGAGAAAAAATAAAACATTCACGATAGCCAGCTTCAAGTCTGAGAATTTTTTGATATGAAGCAGAAGAGTGAAAAATGCGCAGCGGCAATTAGTTCTTGAATTTTTGTTTATGGGTGTTCTAATAATAACAAAACTGTTAAGACTTTATAGCCTTACCTTAGGCATTTATGCACAGCCAAGTTTTGCGGGCTTCTTCATTGATTTATCAGGTTTTTTCTAATATAAACTGGGTAAAATATTTCTTATATCTGCAGTATAATTGCAGAATGTTATTGAAATTTAATTTTTTTATTCAAATAAATACATATATAGCAGAAACTTAACTATAAATTCCACTTTTTCTATGTAGCCCAGCTCCCTAGTCAAATAGGGGGTCGTTAAGAGATGTAGACTGTGAACATCATCAATCAATTTAAACAAAACGAGAGTCAATATTTTAGATTAAAAATCAATTCGTCTTAGACCGAGATGCACTGCCATCCATTATATGAATTTAATATACTAATATCTAAAGTTAAAAATAATATGATAATTATAGACTGAATCCTAGTTTTCAAGAGTTTACTCAGGCAAAGGTTTACACTAACCAGCCAATTAGGGCCGAAGAACATTACCAAGCACATATAACTTCATCTTCCTCCCACATTTTCTTGAATTTTCTTCTATTTTTATCTATCTTTCCTCTCTTCCTTATTCATAATTTAGCTAAAGTCTTTTATCAGAACAAGAATATTTCTTTTTAAGAAAGATATTCATGTCAATTTTTCTCTTGGGCCTCATACATTTAAATTCTCGTAGAAATTACAGGCTTGAGATCACAGCATATCAATTTATTGTCAAAGACTGATATAAAAACGACTTCGTCAGCACTTAAAAATGTTTTCATAAGGGCCATACAGGCACTCTGGGTGTCAGCATAAGCTCAGCTTCTATGTAATAAACTTGGTAAAAGCAATTCTTGACTTATCTCTGAGTAGCTTCATTATTGCACTATCACTATGCATATAAATTGCTCCACAATAATCTGTCAGTTGCTATGTTACATGCCTCAAGTCATCGTTATCAGCATGAAACACATATGGATTGTTGTTAACCTTTAATTAAATGAATCAAACTCAGCAGTGAAATCTCCCAACCAAACCCATATGTTCGTACAACGTTGTATGAACATTTACATCTAACAAGCTTCTTCCTCTTATTAGCCTAGCAGGCACTCTTAGAAAAAATTATATTTGATGAACCAGGGGTGTCACCGTGAAGTACAGACACGTAAATCAAGACTCAAACCTTCACTTCTTGATGCTCCTATACACAAATAGAAGCCACACATGTCTTAAAAGTGAGACTGGGAACGTGATAAAGAAACTAGAGACTAAATGACATACCTTCGATCCCATAACGATGCTTTCTTCTTTCTATGTTATTTGTAATGACGACTTCGGTGGAAGACGATAATACAATTCAGTTAAAGATAATAACAACAATAACACAATTAACCGCTAACTGTGGTAACAGAACTGGAATATCGCTATAATAATAATACTTTTTTTTTTCGTGCTAACTCAACAGCTGTGACAGCCAGTAAAATGAAAAATAGAAGGAAATACATGAAGAGATTTATGGCAAATACACGCCTAAGATATTCTTATGCATAGCAAGTGTGGGAGAAGCATAATTTTATAATAACAATGAACGTAACAAAGTACCCTCATTGCCTGTTTACAAGATTTGCCAGAAGACTGACGTCGAAGATGTGATTGTCAGATATGCTAACACTGTTACATGTTCCATCAGCGGCTAATTTGCAGAAAACAGGAAGAGATATATCATGTGAAAGGGAAATATAAAATTTATCTCAAATTTACAAGTGAAATTCTGATACCAGCATTTTCTAGAAGCGGAGAGCAGGTAATAAAACAATATAATAATTAGAAATCTACAGCATCACACAAACGATTATTTTAAAAACATAAGTTTCTCTCATAGTTCATTACATGTTTCCACCATTCACCATAAGGTGAGACGTATACACAAAAGTTAACAAGTTTTTGAGTAGGCAATTAAATCAGATCTCACGTAATTAAATGCATTCGTATAAACATATAAAACAATAAAATAAAGGAACATAAATTTTGATGATTTTCATACCATACATATCCACTGACGTTTAATTAACCTAATAAAAATACTAGAAGTAAAGAACTGATAATTTTCCAATATAATTGAGTAAACAAAGAGACGTCTGATTGTACTCCCTCATTACTAGTTACATGAAATATTCCACATTAACCCACACGTCAAAAAAGGAAGATTTTAATGTAGTTGTAAGCCTGTTGGACGTAAGAGAAACTAATTTTAATTACTATAAATTAAGAAGGTAAAGTTATCCCTGTAACAGGTCGTGGAGGTCCATAGGGTTCTGAGACGATGAAGCTCTTACATCTTCTAGGCAATCGGCTCACAGATGGCGGTGAGGTCAACCTTACGCGCCGGCCGCCCTTTACTCATTTCTGTCAGAGGCTGAGTCGGCATTAAGGCTCTATTGAGACTGGAATGATTGGGTTGATTTCAATATCCACTGACATCGGGAACCAAAGCCGCGACCTTCCGGCTTGTAGCATAGTGCCGCGAGCCCTCCAATAAAGATTTCTGAATGTATATGATAAAAACATAAGGCAGATAGGAGAAACGAAAAGATATTTTGTTTTGACTGCATTTTTGCAATAATGGAGAGACAGAAGCTTCTTACCTCAGTCTTAGAGGTTGGTTTTTTCTAATAGACTGCAATAAAGAGCTAGGAATTTGCTTCATAGTCTCTGACTTCTTTACGGTCGTGAAGTCATAGTCAGCAGTCACAGCTGCATTGTTTCCATTCATCGTGGTTACAGGCAAAGAAATTTCTTCATTCATTTATTCCTGCTGGTCGTCGGCAGCACAAAACCGTCAGAAACTGGCGGTTCCTTGCGTGGCGAGACGGACTCTTTAGGCGAGGAGATGTTTTCCATTATCATTTTGAAAACTTCGTCATCTTGCGAACTTGCTCATTTACCTCAGATAATTTGAGAATCATTTCAGTAAGGTTTTCAGTCATATTGCTGGTGCAAATACCATTACATCTGAAATTCTTCAGCTGAACACTGAGCGCATCATTTTCCTTCAGTTTAGGAAGATATCAGATATCAGATGTCTGAGCAGATATGAGAGAAAATAATGGAGTACTTTCGTCTTAAACTGATAGTAGTTCTTCACACAAGCCCCAAAATTGTAAGTGGACTCGCCGTTTGTTTTATAGAAAGTACACTCCATAACTCTCACCTGGAGGCTGGAAAGACGAAATCTCGTAGAGCATGATCCATTGCAACGCAGAAATCTTTGCTTTCCACAGAAAACATCTTTTCACAAAGTTAGCAAACGTCCTCTTTAGCAGCCATTGCGCAGGCAGGTCAAATTTGCAACATTCCACAGATCCTGCACATACTCAGTCACCACAAATAAACACTGCCACACGCCACGAAGCACGAAACAAACTCGTCTGCTCAGCTCGAAATATGGGCAAACGCGTTAATTGTGTCGGGATAGTGTCAGGCTGTAAAATTCATTTTCATAGCCACATTGATAACATGTTTTCTGAATTAGAATTTATTTTCATTTGTTTTAACGTCCAACTTGAAACAATATAAAGACGTAAAATAAAATTGTTTTAAAATTTGTCACTGCAATACATGTTCCGGCCTATTAGGCCATTATCAGGTGAATTGAAATTCGGGGGAACTCCTGTGAGCGGAAGGTAAAGCAGTTCCCCCGAATTTCAACGAATCTGATGATTGCCGAGCAGGCCGGAACATGTACTGCACTGACGAATTTTAAAAGGAATGCATTTTAAATCTTGATATTGTTGCATGGTGGACAGTAAATAGCTGAAAATAAACTCTAATTCCAACTACAGAAGGATGCTAAGATGCAACATCATGTTTCCTAACTTTTATAAATATTAGGCTTGATTCGATACACTACGCTTTCCTTTTCGACTATTGAGAGTCAACTGATTTTCTGTAACTCTCTAGTCCAGTCTGAGCTTCAGTCCATTCCTGCCAGCCGGAACACTGTCACACTGATTCACCCCTGAACGATCGAAATATTTCAAAGAAGATTTGCAACCATATGCTATAACAAATTTTTATTGGCATTTGTGACAATAAGTATTATGACATATTAAGCTGAATCTTTCAACACTTCAGTCCAGGCGTCCATACCTCGATGTTCTATTTATTATGAATTTTTTTGAAAAGTAGTAGTTGCTTATCCTTCATTGATATTGTTAATTTATATGTGCCTACTAAGTTAATCAGAGACAATTCCATTTCAAATCTAAATTATCTCACGAAGTTTAGTTCCTCAGTCCGATATGTTTCTGCGTCTAATGTAGACTACAGATATATATTGATTTTTAAACGAAAATTTAATTCTGTTAACCTGCCTTATTAAGTCGATTAGTATTACACGCAATAACGTCCAAGATCTCTCCGTTCAAAATTATTGAATTTGCGTAATTTAGTTTCCAGTATATTAATATTTATAATCGTACTTCTTCGTTTTGAAACTTATCTCATACGCAGTATATGTGACAAATATTGCGATCATGAAAAATTTCGGTTTGAAGGTTTTGAGGGATTTACATAATTTAAGCCTCCTGAATACGAATAAGTGGTTTCCGAAATTCCGCCTCTTTGCCTTTATACGTACATGTGTATAGATGTACTCCTCGCTGGCGCTTCAACGGCTGAACGGCCTGCTTTCCTTATTCAGCATCCAAGAGAATATTCATCTAAGTCGGTGTTAGGCTAATCTAAACATTCCAGCTCCAAAAATTATGGACCCTATAAATATAAGGGACAAAACACGAAATGGCGATTTTCTCGAAAAGAGTTTTCATCGTTTAGAATAAATTTCACAAATATGTAGAGACCATATTATCTAGGAGCATAAAGTTTAAAATTCTCAAAGCTACTTCTTTCCTTGTATACTATACGGGTGTCGCGGTAGCGTAGTGGTTGAGGGGCTATGCTACAAGCCGGAAGGTCAAGTCCCAATGAGGTTACTAGATGTTTTTCAGTTGACCTAATCCTTCCAGCCGCACAAGGCCCTGGGGTTTACTCAGCCTCTAACAGAAATGAGTACCAGGAATTAATTAAATAATTTTCCCTAGGAGTAAAGCGCGTAAGGCTTACAACCTTACCGCCATCTTTGAGCCGATTGTCTAGATAGTGTGGGACCCTCAACGTCTCACAACCCTATGGTAAAATAATATTAAACTAAATCTTAGACAAATGGAATGGGGTGGTATGGACTGCCTTCGCCTATCTCGGGGTAGGGATCAGTGGTGGGCTTTTGTGAACATGGTAATGAGTCTACAAGTTTCATAAATTTTTGGGAAATTATTGAGTAGTTTGGCGATTTTCGGCTTCTCAAGAATGACTCAGCTCCATGGAATTAGTCAGTTATAGGTAACCAAACATTTGAACTTATTAATTTACTGCCGTTGATAACACCGAAATTGCTGATGTGCAAATATTTGAAACGGGAGCAAAATTAGTGGCATTTAATTAGGATTATAAAATTTGCCGCACTGGTGCATTATCCATAATTTTTTATCTTCAGTTGAAATCGTATTAATGTATAATATGAATAACAAAATTATAACCCGAATTCCATATTTAGCTTTCAGCGTGACAGCGACACTCAACTGACCATTGGAGACGGGCATGTAACATTTTGTGTGAAGAATATTGATCATAAACATATTTATTTTCTTATGAATATTGTATATATTCCAATATAACAATTGGAAATATGACAATGTTCATGGTTTATGCTGACCGTCTTACAGTGTATACACTTTTTTCACCTTATTCTTCACTTCCACATTACATGTTTCGGCACTAATGTGCCATCTTCAGGACGCTAAAATATAACATTATGACAATGTTGCCAAACTTGGAGCTGAGTCATAGAATTTTAACAGAGGAGGAAATGATGAACCTAAATATCTTGATTGCTAAAGATCTCGCAATTTATATTGGAACACACGAAGGAGGGCAGTGTTCCAAGTTCTTTGCTGAAAATTTTATCTCATGCTAATTAATACGAATCATTCTCACCTGTAAACAAACTTCTGGCCCAGTACTTTCTTAATGATATTCTTGTCGTAGTAGTAGCGCAAGGCACGGCTCAGCTTGTCATAGTTCATGTTCGTCTTGTTCTTCCTCAGTCCCCACAGGCGAGCCACCTCTTCTGCATTAACCAACTTAAATTCGCCATCATTGTTAGTCCAGGTGATAATACTTGTGTACTGGTTACTGATAAGAAGTTCCAGCAGAAACTGCCACAGCGTAATATTCGTCTCCATGTAACCTGCAAATATCCGTGCGCAAAAAGACGTTGAAGACATTATCACATAAAAGAAAATTTCTTTGAATTGTTTCATTTTGGTCCGTTACACTATCAATCACCAATTATCAATAGAACCTCCGTCGAGTGTAACAATATATATTCTTGTCACCATTTTCTCGGGGTACTGGATGTTGTTGTGTTTTACGCTCCAATACGTGTAACATCTTCCACAAAAAACTGTATATTGTGATTGTTGAGCAGTGCAAGTGTTTCCATGTTTTTGTTGTGGATGCCTCTGATGATGGCTCTTTGTGAGCCGAAACATGTAAGGCAAATGTGAGAAAATGGTGACAAGAATATATATTGTTACACTCGACGGAGGTTCTATTGAAAATTTCTTTCTTTAATTTTAGAAATTCTTCCGTAAGAATAATAAAGAAATTTTAAACAGGCATAGAGATACATGTTTGACAGAATGTATCGGTTCAATGTTTAGCAATTCTGCCTCACACTCGAGAGGTCTGGCGTTCAATTCTCGGCTGGAGGCCATCTGATACTACAGTGGGTTTTTATGTTTGTATTCAGTTCTTCCAAGAGAATGCGGTGGCAATGTCTTCGCGTAGAACATAGCATATTCTTTCTAAGTCATTGGGCCTACCTAAAGATTTAGGAAAACGTCGTTAATAAGCTAAAAGAAGAATACAGATAAGTAAGGTATTTGCATTTTCACCCCACACCAATCCGAATTGTGCAATTTGTCAATACTTTATGAAGAATTGCACAATTTCAAAATTAAGTCATTTGTCCTGTGTTTAGCTAATTAAACACAAAGCCATTAAGACGTATGGGAGAGTGAATATATAGATTCAATTATTCTTGACCTCAGCAATAGTTGGGGGTGATATAGCAACTTCTGAACCTGGCCACTTTACCCCCGGGGAAAGGGTCCCTTGAACACATTTGATTGGAGGACGAATGGGCCTCTGGACCGGTCTGGACGTCGTGAAAAGGACAAAACTCTTGCCCCTATCGGAACTCGAACTGGTAAAACTGGGAATTTTTCCACCAAACTTCATAATTTACTACGGACAATTTTTAGAACCTGTTTCTTAGAAATGTATAGAAGAGTTAAATAATTTCAGAATGTGCAGTTTGCTGCTTTTGTATGGATGATGCCTCGTGAGCCTGTACAGGTTTCCCGTACTAGTAAGTCGAATATCGAGATAAATATAAGTTCATTTTCCTTTGCGTTATTTTGTGTCATACTGTTTGCTAAAGTAAATACGGATATTATAGTACTGAAGGAAGGATCCAAGACGAAATTAGGAGTACTATTATATTATTTCTTTCCTACAGGCACAAGGTTAGTTAAACCTCTGCTCATTCTTATAAATAAACCTATTCTATTCTAACCAGTCAGTGTAATGACATGTGGCAGTGAGCATCACATTTGTAGTCATAAAAAATACTATATTTTATGATGAACAGTTTTGTGTCACTTTTTGTTCAACTAAGTGTAAAATTTGTTTAAACGCGGACTTAATAAAATTCTTACTTTTCACATATTGAAGGCCAATTATGATATCACGGTACAGATCACGTTTGTGATATGGAATCTAATGGCTTAAGGCTATGAGAAGGTTAATTTGTTGAAAATATAAAGCTCCGTGAGACAGTTCCTGGAATGTCTTGTGATACTAAATATATCTCATTCAGTGAACAGAGCATAAAGTAAATGTGATGTGGGGCCGCGCCATAGCTCAAGCGGTTAGTCGCTGGCTTCCCATCGCGGCGGCCCGGGTTCGATCCCGGGTCTGGTCAAGTGGGATTTGTGGTGGACAAAGTGACGCTGGGGCGGGTTTTCTCCGAGTACTTTGGTTTCTCTGTCAATCTTCATTCCACCCATTGCTCCACAATCACCCTCACCTATCATCTGGGGCTGGTACAATAGGCCAGAAGTGGCCGCAGTGCAAGGGACTTAGTCCCACCCCACTAGCAATAAAAAAACTGTGATGTAACAAATCAGTTTTGGGGGATCTGATGTGTGTCTGGCTATTTACTGCAGTGGTAGCTAATTGCTACCCTCTGAAACTTTTATGATAAATTTAATGCACTTGATACTGAATTTAATTTACCAGGAGAATTCTCCTCGACTGCATACAGTAACTGAGCCACGACTTCTATCACAACCATGCATAAGGCTAAAAATATCCAAAATAATTTAAACTACTAAGATAGACACAAACAAAGGATAAAAGAGTAAAAAGATAATTTGATTACGATGATAATTCATATAACCAAGTATCTTTTTTATTGCTAGTGGGGTGGGACTAAGTCCCTTGTACTGCGGCCAATTTTGGCCTATTGTCCCAGCCGAGGTGATAGGTGAGGGTGATTGTGGAGCAATTGATGGAATGGAGATTGGCAGGGGAAACCGAAGTACTCGGATAAAATCTGTCCCAGCGCCACCAGTTTGTCCACCACAAATACCACTTGACCAGACCCGGGATCGAACCCGGGCCGCCGCGGTGATAAGCCAGCGACTATCTGCTTGAGCTATGGCGCGACCCTATATAATCAAGTAACTAATTCTGCGGTATAAGGTTCTCCTTGAAGGGCTGAGAGTCAGTCTACTGTCAAGAAGTTCCCTGTTTTGTGGAGTTCGAGAGCATTCCTGGACTCTATTCTGAACCAATTGTTTTCGGTCTACACAATCATATAAACCCTGACTACGGAATGAACGACCGTAACTTAATTCCTGGCAGGACCTTTTTCCTTCGCCGCCGCGTTCAGGTTGGCTCTGGGGTCCAGCCAGCCTGCCATTCGTCGGGTACCGGAGGAAATATATCCGGAGTTAAAAAAAAAAAAACGGCCTAGGCTTAAAGCTGACCTTCACTTCTTTGTAGTGCCGTGGTTAAGATTGGATGGAACATTTTTCTTCATGGCGTCGAACGTAATTAAGAACAGATTCAGCTTTTATTTTTACCTTGACACACGCCACTTGTATGTCTATTTATCTACGTATTTGTGATTCTTGCAGAAGTGAGTATTAAGAGCAGGGTCTTCTGGAAATTCACACCATGAAAAAGATGAAGCTGTTCCTGTAACAGGCCGTGGAGGCCCAGGAGGGTGTGACAGGTTGAGGCTCCCACATCTTCTAGGCCAGTGCTTCTTGACCTCTGTGAGACAGCTGCCCGGTAAATTCATTTTTATAAAACAAAGGCCCGGTAAAATTGATGCCACGGCCCAATACCGGGCCGCGGCCTGGCGGTTGAGGAACACTGTTCGAGACATCGGCTCACACATGGCGGTAAGGTTGTCAGTCTTACGTGACCACTGCCCTGGTCCCCAAAATTGGATAAAATATTTACCAATAAGAGTTTTTAATTTTGAAAGATCCGGTTATAATAAGCCAATATTATTAGCATTCTGTCATAGGGATTACTAACAGGATATGGGAGTGAGTTCCGATCTCCCAGAGGACATGCAGGTTAAATCTCTAAGTGCGTCATAATCTAAGATTCAATGACCCCAAGAGTGCCGGAGAACCCTTCTGCTTCCAAAAGTGTCAACTCTAGGAGTCAGCGTTTAGTGCTGACTTCGCTAATGTGAGAGAATCACTGAGAGTTGAGTAAAGAATTTTCTGCTGTAACAGAAGATTTTCTCCCGGAGTCTTGCAGCAAGTGGACTGAATATCTGAGAGAAAATGCTTTTGGTGGACAATATTTGTGGTTCTAAATATCTCTGTACTCGTGGGTATAAGACCATATCATGTGAAGTATGTAAAAACAGATGTAATTTGAGAAGCTATTCCTTCACGAATACAAAGGTGCTGCAGCTGTCCTTGCTATTACATGTAAATGACAGCCGTTGCACCCTCTGACATGGAACTTGCGTGGTCACAGAATAAGGCAGCTAAGATTCACCCTAAGACAAAAGGTAAAATTATCCGTGTGCTTAACTTATTAAGCACTACGTCATGAAAGCTTAAGGGGAAGTGGATATATAGACTCACGTATTCTTGACCTCGACACTGTTTGGAGGTGAGTATTCAGCTTCACGGCCCGGCTGCTTTACCCCAGGGGACAACGTGGAGAAAGGAAAATCTTGCACCTGCCGGGACTCGAACTCCGAATCCTCAGCCGTCCAGCCTATAGGGAGTCGCTAAACCGACGGCGCTATCCCGGCTCCCAAGTTTAACCCTGTCGCTGCGATAGTCGACCGAAGTCGAACAAGAATCCATTACGGTAAAGTACAACATTCGACTTTAGTCCACACCAAGAAATAATTTTTGCTGCGGAATTCGGCTTCAGTCGGACATGAACATGCGATTTTGTAGAGTTTTTCGCATTTTTACCTTAAATATGCATTGTATCGTGAAAATGGCTAAAAATAATAGGCAGCGAATTGTTAAGGCAATAGTAATTGTAATAGCAGTACTACTAATACTGATTTATCAGATGGTTCAGGTTTTGATGTAAACGGAAAGTGTCACGAAAAAGATAGGCCATAACAGTAGACAAGCGGCTTAAGGACGAGANGCGGAGGCCGTTTAGTCTATTGTTAATGTTTGCATCCTGTTGCGTGAGTGTAACTGATAATACAAATCTCACCGTCAACGCAACTACAATTTATTAACTTGGTTGCAGTAGATGTTTCGACTCTTACAGGGTCATCCTCAGATGTTGTGATTTACACGTTTTCATTCTTGAAATGTAAAGCGTGGATACATATTTACATAAATAGATTTAAAATGACTGGAATATAAATGTACATAAAAAGTTGTCAATTTAAGTCTATGTATGTAAATATGTATACACGCTTTACAATTCAATAATGAAAATGTGTAAATCACAACACCTGAGGATGACCCTGTAAGAGTCGAAACATCTACTGGAACCAAGTTAATAAATTGTAGTTGCGTTGACGGTGAGATTTGTATTATTATTCATATTAGTCTTTTCTCGTCCTTAAGCCGCTTGTCTACTGTTATGGCCTATCTTTTTCGTGACACTTTCCGTTTACATCAAAACCTGAACCATCTGATAAATCAGTATTAGTAGTACTGCTATTACAATTACTATTGCCTTAACAATTCGCTGCCTATTATTTTTAGCCATTTTCAC